CAATTTAGGGCCAGTTAGACACTTTAAGGGATTTATGGCTTTCCCTAATGAGGCTTGTGGCTCTTCTGCAATTCACACATTCTGTCAGTCTTCCTTTAAAGTAAACCTGCTGGGCTTTAGACTGCAACTGTGTTTTTGTATTTGCTCTAATTTTGTCCTTTTTTGGGGGGGATTGGAGGTTGAATTTAAACTCTCACCGACCTAGACAAGTGTACTAAAGGTGCCACCACGCCCAGCTCTCCTATATTTTTAATACTTTTCAGTTCTTTTGGTGTCCACAAGCGCAAGTCACAACTGTCCTCTAGAAATTACCCAGACTACCCACGTGCATAGTGCCCCATAGGCAGGGCAAATGCCCTCAGTTAAGATGGCCGCAACTGCTTTTTATTCCTTTTATACTTCCTTTTTCCCTTAACAAAGATGGTGTCGCCGCTTCCGGTTCGGGCTCGTGCCGGCGTGGGGCGGTGAGTGTCACCCGGACTCGAGGCGTCTCCGCCCGTGTTCCTTGCGTTCTGGAGTGCTTTGGGAAGGGATCAGGTGGGCAGGGCGCCACGGTGGATCCAACCTGGGAAGTTAGGAGGATTCCCCCGACTGCCCATTCCCTCCACTCTACCGCCAGCCCGTAGCGTGGTTGCTGGGGCCACCCGGAATTTACGAGCACGGGGTCTGGATTAGTTCCAGTTCTTTTGTATTTAAAATTTTTGTTTTGTTTTGTTTTTAAATAGCCTTATTTATTACTTGATAGTTCCATAACATTTTCCCATTTAAAATATAAAGTCAGTCGGTTTGATCATTAACGGAATTGCGTGTCCGTTACTATAACCTTAGGATGTTTTCAGTACCACCCCCAAAAAAACTGCCCCCAGAAGCATCACTCCAGCCACTGACAACACTGCCCCTCAGTCCTAGGCAGTGACCAGAGTACTCTCTGTCTCTATTGGCTCTCTAATTTGCACACAATATAAACGGGCTCAAACAATATGTGGCCAGATATATTTGCCAAGCTTGTCCTGGACTTGTGTCAG